AAGAAAGCTCCTCCATCCATAACAAAATATTTAAGACAATTTTGGCACATTGTACAAATAAAGATATAAAATTAGATAGTCATCCTTTTCATGAAAATGTGTATACTCTTATGAAACATTAAGTCTCCACCCTAGTAATATATTGATATAGGGTGTAGCGGCCTATAAAAGAAAATTCTTGCTATAATAAAATGGGTGCTGCTAAGCTCAGGAAAAAAAAAATAGAAGTGATGATGGCATTTGAGAAACTGTTTAATTTGTTCAATTCGCTTGTAGGAATTACTCAGTGAAAGAATAGATGTGACATGTCAAAGTTTAGGATGAGTAACTTAATGATTTCCAGTCAAATGAAAACAGCATGGAGGAAAAACCTTGGATACAACTAGGAACTCTGCAGCTTGATAAACTGAAAATAAAGTTATTTTGTCTACGATACCTCAGGGCTAGCTCCAGGGGGAATTGCTGAGATGAAGGGAAAAGGCTGAAATTCAGGAAGAAAGGCTGGGGCTGGTGGTTGGTCTAGGTTGCCTTCTACTTAACCATCCTGTGGACAGCAGGCTCCACAATTAGGGAAAATTAAGGAACCACCTCAAGTGGGACCAAAAAAGTTTTATTTGTCCAAATATGAGCTTTTGAGAGCACAACTTCAGGGTTAATACATTCTCCAATGCCCATTCTAGTCAGGCTTTGTGGAGGGAATGGAATGAGATCTATCCACGTATTCATTGCCTCAAGTTATAAAATATCTTAGGCTGCTCTACACAAGTGTTCGGCATAGCCTGAACACATATAGAGCATTATATCCACTTCTGGGCATTAACTTTTAAGAAGACTATTGACAAACTGGAGCTGATCCAGAGAACAGAAACCATTATGATGGGAAAGTTGATCCAATCCTGTTAATAGTTGAAATATCTGCATCTATTTAAGCCAGAGAATGCAAATTAAAGGAGAGATACAGTGCCACTCTTCCATATTAGAAATCTGGGATGGAGAAGATGAGTCATATTCCAGGGGACAAAATTAAAACCAGTGAGTAGAATTTGCAAAAATAAAGATTTCATCTAGATGTTAGAAAAAGCTTTCTAACAACAGAGCTATTCTAAAGTGGAGCACATGTGTCAGGTGCAAGAAACCAGGAGCCAAGATAGGGTTCATAAGTACTACAAGTTTATTTCATGTTATGTACAGTATACACAAGAATATGAATTATTAATGGTCAAGGCAAATTGGTGTAGGGTAAGAGTCAATGGAATTTATGGGGGGGCTGGACTTAGGTCTCTTGCGGGAGCATAGTGACTCCAAACTGATCACTCATTTGACCCCACCCTTGGGCTCAGCCTGGTCATCTCTTGCACACGGCTCCAAGAGGGGTGGATGGCAATACCAATAGAACTTAGATTTATATACTACTTCACAGTGCTTTATAGACCTCTCTAAGCAGTTTACAGAGTCAGCATGTTGCCCCCAACAATCTGGGTCCTCATTTTACTGACCTTGGAAGGATGGAAGGCTGAGCCGGTGAGGATTGATCCCCTGGCAGTCAACAGAATAGAATACAACACTGCATTCTGACCACTGCGCCATCATGGCTCCAGGATGGATTCTTTTATATATAGTTATACAAAGATTACTGAGCTATAACTCCTGGGATTTCTTAGCTTTGGCCATACATGGTAGGGTTGCCAGGAGCTATAGTTCAGCAACTTCTAGATGTTTCCTTTGGATTCAGAAGCAATGATTATCCAGGTAAGGTTTATGAGCCATGGTGGCACAGTGGTTAGAATGCACTATTGCAGGCTACTTCTGCTGACTGCAGGCTGACAGCAGTTCAGCAGTTTGAGTCTCACAGGCTCAAGGTTAACTCAACCTTCCATTCTTCTAAGGTCAGTAAAATCAGCATCCAGATTGTTGGGGGCAATAGTCTGACTGTAAACTGCTTAGAGAGGACTGTAAAGCACTGTGAAGTGGTATATAAGTCTAAGTGCTATTGTTATTGCTATTATTGCAAGGCAGAAGAAGAAAATGACAATAATATAACATTAGACAACAATCAAAGAATAATCATGAGTATTGAAGAATACAGTAAGACAAAGAAAGACCCCTTGGCCCTTCTGCCAGTCAGGAAACCACAGAGAAGCACCATACACATAAACACTTCAAGGTCTCCATGGAACATCCCTCCCATGGATGTTTCTAAGTAGCTTATGTAGGGCTATGAAACATAATTAAGCATATCTGCTTTTCAGCGATGTCATTTTACTACATTTTTCCAATGGCAAGGAGGACAGTTCTATCTTATTTTGGTGTGCTTTGTCTTCTTGCCAAGAATGAGAGCATCATAGTTGAAGAGTCCTTGTTTATATCAGGGGGCAATGAGACCATCTTTAAAATAAATAAAAAAAACTCTTTCTCCAGATTACTTGGATTGAAGGTGAGAAAGATCATTCTATTCTACACAGATGTCCCATCAAGGACAGGGCAAAACAAAACATGACCTTTAATGGCTAAAATAAAGCTTTGTTTAATTCTGCAGTATATAGTCAACCATGACATGAAAATATAAAGTTCTGTATACTTTGTGCCTAAGGAAATGAGGCATACGCTATTATCCAATGCCCTCTCACCAATGGAACCAGCAGCACTTCACGTTCAGATCTATATTAATGAGAGAAATACAGAATGAAAGAGAACTATGAAAGTGGCCACCAAAATTTAATTGGAAGCAGAATTATTAACACTTTCTCGATGTGCTTTGTGCTTGTGTGTGCACATTCTTTTGCATCTACAGTGATAGCAGGACATTAAAGGTGGGAAAATAGTAGTAAGAGGATTTTTTTTTAATCCATAAAAAGGAGAAATCAGCCTTTCCTCCTGTAGATTCTCTGTAACCATCTTGTTGAAGGAATGCTCATTGTGTGGCTAAACAATATTTTGTTTCTCACCTCCCTTGAGTACCTTGTCTATTCATTTCCAACATAAAAAAATGTCAGCCACTTAGGAAAAGTCACCTATCAGTGAATGGCAGGGCATGCAAATTGGCATGCAATCAAAATTTTCCTTTCTGGAAGAGGAAACCCACCCTCTCCACCTTTTCTTTGTGAACTAACAATAAACAATTGAAGAATTTTGTATACCTTTTAGGACTCAACATTTCCTACAGGAAGGCTTTTAAAAGTATAAACTTTCTCCTGACAATTTTAAAAGTGTATCCTTCGAAGCTAATGTTGACTGCTGCACTGGATGGCTTCATGATCTCAGATCACAAGATTCACATGTCCCAAGATGAATCTGAACCTGAATGAGTGGTAAGGCATTCTTATCTACCTCAGAACACAACATCCTCCATAAAGGATTGAGCTAAAACAAAGAGAATACCAACCAGCACCATTGGAGTTAGAAGGCTATATCAATTTGGAATAAATATATGATAAATACACCAACTGCAATTCTTGACAGTCCTAGGAGCACCATTCAAAACAAAAAGGAAGGAAGGAAGGAAGGAAGGAAGGAAGGAAGGAAGGAAGGAAGGAAGGAAAGAAAGAAGGAAGGAAGGAAGGAAGGAAGGAAGGAAGGAAGGAAGGAAGGAAGGAAGGAAGGAAGGAAGGAAGGAAGGATCTATTCCTTTGACCAAACATATAAGGAAACAGAATAGCTTCAGGGCAGAAAAAGCAGCCCTAAAAACATTAGAAAATAATCAAACCATCATTGTCCTCCCAACTGCCCAACCACAGTTTTCATAAGAAAAAAACTATTTTGCATCCAAAAAGCAAAAGAGATGCTGAATGACAAGTAGACCTACAATCTCATAAATACAAACCCTTTACAGAAACTAGACAACCAATCAGAAAAACCCTCTATGACCTAATCATAATGTAATAAGTCAGAAAAGAAGAACAATGGCTCATGAAACGAGAACATATCCATGAACATCAACTGATAGCCAAAAGGTGAATCTTATCAAGATGGAGGAACTGTTTCCCATCAAGGTTCTCTATTTGCTCCAGTGTTGGCACTTGATAAGAAAGCAATACTGCTGGAGGAATTTATTTATTTATTAGAATATGGCAATGATACAATTAGCCAGGAGACTATAGTACAGCATAATAGTACAGGAGTTGTTTGGCTGCTGAACAGTGCTATTCCATTTAGTTCATGATTATGTGCTATCCAGGGTGCACAACAGGTGACGAACTAGCTCCACACTAGAAAGATGAGTGATGTCCTGTGGTGTCATTTGGGACTTTCTCTCACCTCCAATGCTGCTCCAATAATGATAGGTAGCATCAGTAGAGGTCTGACCATCCCCACATTTGGTACCTACTTATCTACTTGCATGTATCATGTTTTCGAACTGCTAGGTTGGCAGAAGCTGAGGCAAGTGATGGGAGCTCACTCTGTCACTTGGTCCTAGGACTCGAACTGCCAGAGCAGAGATCATGTCCACCATCTTTAAGCCACTGAACAGCCATGCCTCCTAAACCCTTGGAGGAAAAGGTCCATGGTTTGGGGAGCTTCTTGGATTTGAAGTTCCAGCAATTCCAGTAGGTAAAGGTAATGGCCATGGAACTGATCTGTCAGCTGCAGTCTCACCTGGGATGAGAGAATCTTGCTACAGTGATTCATGCTCTTTTTATCACCTACAGTATCTGGACTACTATAACAAACTGTATATGGCCCTGCCCTTAAAGACTATGTGGATTCAGAATGCAACAGCCAGTTCAATAGTTGGAGTTCATGTATGGAGTTCATACATTACCCCCTGGGTTGAGAGCCCAGCACTGGTTACCAATAGGCTTTTGAGTACAATTTAAAGGGCTCATTGTTCATGTCTTGGCAACAAGTCCACTTAAGGAATATTTTGCACTTCTCCCTAGCTTATTGTCCTGTATAGGTCCTTTTAAAAGAGCCAGATGCTAAAAGGTAGAACCAAAGTCATTGCATAATTTTAACATATGTGTCATACAGATCCTTAAAGAAAAGAATCTTAAAGACATCATTTGAAAGACATTGAGGCACTTTTTCATCAGATGTATGAATGAATCAACCATACCTTCTTGATAAACCAGATGAATATAGACTTTTGCCTTTTCAAGATCTGATTCATCATCTCAACATAGGACCTTCACATAGGAATAATGATAGGCAGCCCAATAAGGTAAGTTTTAATTTATTAATAAGGTGTCCCTCTGCAACATTGCAAACACATATCTATACTCTTAACAATTCTAATGCAAGGCACAAAATACTATATCTCACTTGAGTATTTCTGTCTGTATCTGTCTCAGGTTTCACATACAAGTCAGTTATTAAAATATTAAACAAGTTCATAGTGATATTAGGTATGTAAGTAAGTCTCTCCATTTTAATGTTCAATCATTATTGCGCTCAAGGTGTTATTAAAAAAATACTTGTCACCTCTCCTTTCACTGTATTCAGGCTTTTTAAGATCTTCAATGAGTTCATTTTTTAGATCAAGAGGGGCAGTTTTACTGAAATTGTAGGTTTCTGTCAAAAAATCAAGCAAAAGTTCGCCAGTTTTGCTCCCTTCATTAAAGCAATCTGTAATGTCCATGTCTGATGGAAGCTCGTAAGACTGATATTTCAGTCCAGAACCATCAAGCATCTCTTCAACATCAGCAGAAGAAATATATAAACAAAGATCATTCGGAGGTAAATGATGACCGTATTTCCTCCACAACTTGGCCCAGCCACTGCGTCCTGCCAAATAAACAATATCACAAACATGTAAGTGACAAATTATTTGTATTATACATGTTCCAGTAGAAGAGAATGTTTATAGCTCAGGGTTGAACTGTGGGGTCCTTGGTGCATTCTGAGCTTGGTTGTTTTTTTGCAGACATTTCATTACCTAACTAGGTAACTGTCAATGCTGCAAATACTGTATATTCTTGCTTTGACAATGTGCAGAACTGTCTGGTATATATATAGTTAAACCAGCAACTGGGAAAGAGGGAGGAGCATAAGGATAGCCCGGGAGGAAGAAACCGGAAGTAAATCACATCTTCCAAGTTGATTGGAAGATGTGAACCATGACCCTACAATAAGGGAGTGGAAAATGCTTGGAATGTTATGCGTAACGGAAGAGAAGCAGACCTAAGCATTTCCACCATGCTGTGCTGACGTATTGTGACCTTAATAAATGCTTTTAGGATAAAACATGCCTGAAAGTCCTTTTAAGTGTTTCGTTATTCAGACACATGACAGTAACATCATCAGTTTTAGAAGAGAGGGGGGTGGGTTTCTGTCTGTTTGTATACTAGGAGCTTGCCCTGTCAGTGTTGTTGAGAATTATCTCGGTGGTTGCTTGATTAAGCTGTTATTTATTGTTTGTTTGTCTGGGTTATACATGTAATTTGCAATGAATGGATTTCCCACATTTTAAACCCAAGGCTTGAAACAGAAAGAAAAACCAAAGCAGTGAAATTTCATTCTATCAAATACAGTTCAGGTTCATTTTCCATGTTGTTCCTTCCAGATATATTTGCATTGTAAGTCCCTAAATTTCTGGCAATCTTATTCAGTGGCCATGCTCTTTAGGGGTTTTTAAGAGTGATTATAGTCTCACAGAAGAGAGAAAAACTGAGAATGTAGCAAATAGCATCGGATCAGGCAGGCATCTTAATTCTTAACTGGAAAAGATCCATTTTGGGGAGAAATCAGAAGAAAATCAATTCACCGCATGGGTCCAGGAGTACCGGAGACAGTCTGCACAGATTTAACATGAGGTAAAATGTGGGTGGAATAACAAGAAAAAGAAAAGATTTTGGCAACAAGTTATTGGCAAAAAAGGAATGTGCCAGGCTGAAACCAGAGAGGGTCTCAGATAAGAAAGTTGCCACATATCTTGTCTTTTTGACACTTGCAGGCACAAACCCCAAATCTGGGTCCAAGTTGGTTCAATATGCAAACCAATTAAAGAGGCCTTCTTTATGAACATTATTCCTAATGAACAGGGGTGGCATTACATGTTCCAGAATTGGGGTGATTATATATTTCCAAGGAGACCTCTTCCTCTTTTCAATCTCTCTCAATGCTGCTGAAGCTTTGTACATAATTGAGAAGCTGAGGTTTATTTCCAACCACGAATGGGAGCATCACTGAGGCCAGAGTTGATCTCATGACTGACTCCTCACCAACCCATAAAAATAAATCAGAAACTGGTTGATAAATCTCCAAATTGTCTAGAAGAACAGGTTTAGAGCTGGGCTGAACAGCCACTTTGGAAGCAATTGCCCATGGTGGCTAGTGAAATCATTCTAGCAGTGGAAGGCTTTGATCACCACACATAACTAACTGTACATTTAAAATAAAATGCTTTTATTGGAAGAGGAAGAAGGATTTGGGTGTTTTCACCTCTCTCTCTCTCTCTCTCTCTCTCTCTCTCTCTCTCTCTCTCTCTCTCTCTCTCTCTCTCTCTCTCTCTCTCTCTCTCTCTCTCTCAAGAGCTCTTGACTTTCCCAAAAGATAAATGACTTTAGTTTACATTTATTCAGATTTAAAGTCATCTTGATTGAATCTGCAATCAAGTTAGATGTGGAGGGAAAGATTTTGGGATAAGTGATTATGTAAACAATTGCCTTTTCTTAGGTATCTCATCATATAGCATCAAAATATATCATTTCTGAAGGATGGGAAAATGATTTCTTACAATGATGGCTATTTATGTGTCTGGTAGAACAACAAGAACATATGGAAACATCTCTCTCTCTCTCTCTCTCTCTCTCTCTCTCTCTCTCTCTCTCTCTCTCTCTCTCTNCCCCCCCATCATGTGACTGTACCTCAGACACTTGGCAACCAGACTGCATTTACAGCTGTTTGTAGCATCCCACAATCACATGATCAAATTTTACAATGGTTTTGCCGAAAAACATTTATTTCTGTTTTTGGCAAAACCACACCCATAGTGAGCCACTGCTTCACTTAACGATCACCTCAGAAAAGGTCATAAAATTGGGTCAGTCTCATGGGTCAGCCACTTTATGACTGTCATGACTTACATCTGTGATGGGCAGGTGCCTTCATGGTCATAACTCAAGGAGCAGCTGTGATCCCTGTTTAACATCATTTGAATATATCAGCTTTAAAATGGAGTCCAGAGACTGTGTACTATCTTTCAAAATTTGAAACCGAAATCTTATAAACAAATATTTTGATAGAGATGAAGTCAGCTTTCTCCTGCCTAATGTTTTAGACTTTAATTCCCAAAATTTGGTAAAGGTTCGTGAAAGTCCATTAAAGCAGGAAAATAGTACATTCAGCCTAATCCTGGATGTTTACTGGAAACGAAGTCCATTTAGTACATGTATGCATCAAGGTACAACTTCAGTCATGGTTAATTGAAATCTAATTAACTTTCGTATGATTTAGCTGAGAGATCGACTTATATATGCTGCCTACGTAGGCAATTGTAATTAATTCAGAAGCCTCTACGGAGACTGAGATGCAAGATGATACCAATCTTCTGACAAAGGATCATCTTGATTTAGAGTAGGCCTAAAATAAGCCGGGCTACATGAGACTTTAATGTAGTTTTCATGAAGTTGCATAGAATGACAAGATGACAGGATAGGAGGCCTCCATCAGACTCATGAAATTCTAGTATAAAGATGTCCCGAGTTATTCAAAATGCTTGGCAATCTTAGATCACCCAGCTTGCAACCCCTTGCAGTGAAACGGGAGCTATTTTTATTTAAAAAATTGGCCGCATGTTAGGTATACATATGATACCACAGAAAGAGAGAGAGAGAAAGAGAGAGAGAGAGAAATATATTAGCAGGAACAGTAGGAAGGGGCACCAGGCTAATTCATTTATTTGGTACCCTCGGTGGCATGATTCAGCATTTCTGATGTGAATCATTTATAAAAAGCCAAAGCTCCTGGCCCCTTTGGATAGGAAAGCAATAAATTCAGGACTAATGAGGGCCTGCTGAGAAGTATGACTGCAAATCCCCAATGTTAATAAAGCTACTTGTCTGCCTTTTTTTTTCTTTATTCTTTCTGAAGGAAAACAGTCTGTCTTGAAAGAGTTTCTTTCGGAAACATAAACATTGTCAGCTTTAAATGGATGCCACACAGCAAATTTGTGTTATTTATTCTTTCCCTGTCTCTCCCTCCCTCCCCCAGTGGTGGGAAATGAATGCCGAGCACTAATTGCAAGGAATGCGCTGGTGTCAGTGTTGTGTGACTCAATGCCATTTCTGAAACGGAGCAATTATACACTACCTGACTGGCACATTATTATAATCACTCCCTGTAGATGCAACATATGGCGCTAGACTGGTGTTTTTTAAGACTTTGTGGCAAACTGGCTGTGAGAGGAGGATATTATCTTTAAAAACAACCCTATATCTTTCTTCATGGCTGGCCTGGTTTCACCGACAATTGAAATATGGGCGGATCTGATGTCCCCCGTGTTTCTTATCGGATTCCTACTCTCCATTTCACATGGTAGATGAGGAGGCAAACAGCACACTGAGCACAATTCACTGGGAACAGGTGAATCGGTACGAGTAGCACCAGAAAGCTTTCACATAAGATTTGGTACAAAAGTGCTAGATGTTGTTTTATTGACTACGTTCAGGAAAGTCTTATTTTAGCAAAGGCTTCTTCTGTTCCTCTGCTTGTTCACCTCTTTTGATGTTTATCTACTCTATTGAACATCACACTATTCTTTCTGAATGATGGAATCTCACATCTTTTCCTTAATTGATTGTCTTTGGTTGTCTTCTTTCTTTTGCTATTTTTTACTCAGGTGAGGAACTGCTGGCAGAAAAAAAAATTACACAAGGATATAACTCAGTTCCAATGGATGCCCCCATAAACATTTTCAGATAGGTGCCCTAGATTCAGTTAGCTTAGAGCAGGGGTGTCCATGCTGGCTGGGAAATTCTGGGAGTTGAAATCCACAGGTCTTAAAGTTGCCAGGTTTGGACACCTCTGACTTAGAGTTTATGCATACCTGCCTGTTGCATTCCTTGTGCATGCTAAGTATGCTGGAGAAGAGAGAAATGGAACAAGAGTGCCAAACTTGGGGCAGCAAAATGTTTTGAGTTTTAAAAAAATCTGTAACTAAAAATATTCAAAACCAGGTCAGGGTAAATTTACCCATTATTTTTTTTCTTTTTCCTTTTCTAATTTCTTGTAAAAGGTCCCTTTTCTCTTCAGGTGCTTCAAGGCATACTAGCAGAAGGCGGATTATCAATACAAAATTTGGCTTGTTGTATAGATATGTTTTGCACCCAAGTACTTACTGTATAACTAATTATTCTGAAAAACAGCTTTAAGACCACATCTCTCTCGTAAGTATAAAGTCAGCACTTGATATCTAATATGGTCTTTTCCCTGATGAACTAGCTTTCAACATGCACATATTAAGAGGAAAGGGTGTTCAATGATGTATCTTCTGTCCACAAAGAGGTGGCCCAGACATATATCTGGTGCATGAGATGTCTTGTTTCTTTAGGGTACCTCTTTTGTATACATGTCTCTGTGCTTTGGATACAATAATGCCCTTCATCATTTCTTATTCTGTGTATATATGTATGTGATTTTTTTAAAAAGTGTTAGACTCATATTTTTTCTTCATTTACAAGAATAACCATGTGGCTGAAGTTAGGGAGATGAGAAATAGTCCCTAATTTGGATATTCCAGCTTAAAGGGCAATGTTTCACTACAACAGGTTAAGCATTTGACAAAAATCTTGTTTTTGTTTTCACTGAAAACATGACCGGATAAATAACTCTTTCAAAAATCTAGAGAAAGCGTGTATTTGTGTTCATGGGCAGCCTGGAATCCAACTGAGTTGGGTTGTGTAGATGCTGTCATGATAATTCCTCTGTATTAGTAGGCTGCTATTTTGTGAACGGTATTTAATAATCCCAACTCTCTTTTCCATCCCTCCCCTCATTTCTGTGTACATATTGTTCTATTCACAACATAAACCTGAGAGTAACAGATGCAAACTGTGAAATCAATGAAACCTGAAAGTGCTTAACTTTCGCTGGTTGTACCCATAAGACTTGCATTAGGCACTAATCCTAAAAATGTTATTTGCTTTGCTCACCCAGGACTAGAGGCATAGAATCAAGATCACGCGAAGTAATATGACCTCTTTATAAAGCCCTAGTAAGACCACACCTGGAATACTGCAGCCAATTTTGGTCATCATATCACAAAAAAGATGTTGAGAGTTTGGAAAAAATTTGGAGAAGAGCAACTAAGATGATCAGGGGCCTGGAAACTAAAACATATGAAGAACAGCTACGGGACTTGGGTTTGGCTAGTCTAAAGAAAAGAAGAAGGGGCAACATGATAGCAGTGTTCCAGTATCTGAGGGGCTGCCACAAGGCAGAGGGGACCAGGTTGTTCACCAAAGCACCAAAGGGAAAGATGAGAAACAATGGTTGGAAACTGATCAAAGAGAGAAACAACCTGGAATTGAGGAGAAACTTACTGACAGTGAGGACAATCAACCAGTGGAACAGCTTGCCCCCAGAAATCGTGGGCACTCCATCACTGGAGATTTTTAAGAGAAGACTGGACATTCACCTGTCTGAGACAATATAGGTTCTGCTGCTTGAGCAGGAGGCTGGACTAGCAGGGGACTCCAAGGTCCCTTCTATTCTATTCTATTCTATTCTATTCTATTCTATTCTATTCTATTCTATTCTATTCTATTCTATTCTATTCTATTCTATTCTAGATAAAAACAAATGCTTCATTGTCACAATCTTTGGTATTTCATTTTTCAGATAACCTGAATACATCTTTCTTATTCAGGTTTCAGGCGTAACCATCCTAGTGCAGGCTTTTTACCCAGCACCACAATCTTGGATGAAATGAAGAGTTATAACATGGAGATGAGCAGCCAAATAGCTGGAGAGAACTTTCTAGCTATTTGGTTAATGTCACATGCAATCAGGTGTTATGGGTGCCATTCTGAAAAAAATCTCTAAACACATGAATGAATTCATTAATGGAAATTGGATTTCCCCTCCCCCCCCATGAGTTAAGTGTTTCAGACCCTGTGCCTTTCCTCTTTTTTCCTCTGGTACTCAATAAATATAATTTGAGTTCAATGGGACTAATGAATTATTTGGGGTTATCTTTATATTGATACAGTCACTTTATAATGTTTTTTGTAGATCACTCTTTATATCCATAAAATGAAAGATCAGCAAATAAAGTCTAATATTTTAATATAACCTGGTTTTCACTATCTACATGGGGAGCACCATACCTGGCGACATATCTGAGTCTTACTTTCAAAGAAATAGCAACATGACTACACGTACTATGGGACAGAGAGCACATGGGGAAAAGTTGGATGGTGGTGGCACAGTGGTTAGAATGCAATACTGCAAGCTAACTCACTGCTCACTCCAGGAGTTTGATTCTGAGCGGTTCAAGGTTGACTCAGCCTTCCATCCTTCCAAGGTCGGTAAAATGAGGATGCAGATTGTTGGGGACAATATGCTGACTCTGTAAACCTCTGTAAAGCACTATGAAGTATAAGTCTAAGTGCTATTGCTATGGCTATGGCTTCATATGTCAGTTTCTGGATCAAAGTTTAAACAGTTGACAAATAACTAGTCTAGTTTTTTACATATGTGTGTGCATGCATGCATGCTTATCCACCTAATCCCAGTTTTTGATGTGGCCCCTTGGGAAAATTAATTGCCCACTTCTGCCACAGAATAACATCTTGCTACACACATCTGTTAATTCCCAAATAGGATGAAAGTGGACATATAGTGCCTCCTGGTGGCCAATGTAATCTTTTTATATAGTGTACCTTATGGACCACTAGTTCAATACTACATAAAAAATAAAATACAGGTAGTCCTCGATTTACAACCACAATTGAGCCCAACATTTCTGTTACTAATTGAGACTTTGTTAAGTGAGTTTTGCCCCATTTTATGACCTTTCCTGCCACAGTTGTTAAGTGAATCATTACATTTGTTAAATTAGTAACACGGTTGTTAAGTGAATCTGGCTTTCCCATTGACTTTGCTTGTCAGAAGGTCGCAAAAGTTGATCACATGATCACACGGGACACTGAGACTGTCATAAATATGAACCAGTTGCCAAGTGTCTGAATTTTGATCACGTGATCATGGGGATGCTACAATGGTCATAAGTGTGAAAAATGGTCATAAGTCACTTTTTTCAGTGCTGCTGTAACTTTGAACAGTCATTAAACAAACTGTGGTAAGTCGAGGACTATCTGCAGTATAACTACTCAAATCAGATATTTTAAGACTCAGCTTTGAACTTACCTGAAACAAGAATAATGAGGAGTTTGGCCCCAGGTTCCAAGAGGCCATGAAAGAACCTAATGGTAGCTCGCATGTCTTTTACATAATACAGCATCTGAAAATGAGAAGAATCATTTCAAGGTGAAATGGGTTTGCAGACATATTCAGATAAGTTGCATATTTTGTAATTTAAATATTTGCAAAATTTTCCTCTCCGTATGTTGAGTTATGTCTCCCCTATCACTACAAAGCAATATAATTATCAGATTGGGAAGCTAAAACTACACACAGAGAGAAAATAGTTTATAAATAAGAAGAGCAAATTTGTAATGGTAAAGCAACACACCATGCATGAAAAGTAGCCCATTAATGTAGTGTCTCATTAACAGTTGTCTGGCCATATAATATGCTTCATTCTACCTGGATCATATGGATGAAATTCCATTTTCCCATCTCTTTGCTGTCCATAAATCGATTTTCATATTCCAGGGATGTCTCCTTGTGCCAAGTGAACTTTATGTTCTTGAGATCTGATGCCTTTGCAACACATTCTGAAATGTGATAGCTCCACAGTTTATCTCATTTGCAAATATGGAATACATTTTCATTTCAGTCTTTTTTTTAAAACAGCTGAAAGCCATATATTTTTAATATGACATTGATGCCATTGGGCTGCTGTCTTCAGTTCATTTTAATATAGAGGAGGTACATTTGGCTATATTTCTAGAATCTGGTCTAGATCTCTGATATCTGCATGACTTCAATATAGACAACAATGTATTCACATTATCTCATTTTGGAAAACATGATTTAAAATAAATGGAGTTGAAAATGCCCAAAGGGTTTTACCATAAAACTGCTAACATTTAAGATGAGATAAGATTACTACACTTCAGTATTTTCATATAACCTAAATCTGGCTTTAAAAAAAAAATATTGGAAGCTTGGTTTGACTCTAGAAAGATGAAAATTGGTAGTGTTGTTATGAAATTACAATACCTAATATCTTGCACAATTAGCCACCATGGTATAGCTAATAGAAGTTGTAATTTCATAAAAACTGAAAAGCCACAGATTCCCTAATCTTGACTGTCCTAGAGCTTAATCCCTCTGTGCTGTAATTTGACATTTCCTTGTGAAATCAGCTCTGGTTTCAGTGTCATCTTGAAAACTAAGGGACATTGAGACAATTGGAGTATTCTCTTGATTTGCAATATTCTCTTGATTTCCAGTGCAAGGGGACAGTGCTTGCTTGCTCTGCCTCTGAAAACTCGTTAAAGGACATGGCTTCCTTCTCGCTCCGAAAGCAATAAAGATCTCCATCACTGATGCTGTAAGACCGTTTCAACCGCAATTCCATTATTTTGGGTTCTGTTACGTGATCTGAAGTCCTGAGTCCATGCAGAGAGCATTCAGAATGTCACAGAGGCTGACTTAATGCAGAAAATGAAATATTACTTTTCTCAAGGATCTGATTATGATACCTCCCTGTGAAGATGAGAAATGTTCTCTCTTTGCTTATTCCTTCCCCTCTAACCTACACTTTTTTATTTATTTCCTACTGGACACCACATTACTAAAGTGTGCTTTACATGGGCCTGCCTTTGAAGATAGTTCGCAAGGCTATGAGGAATGCTATATTGCCAAATAACCCAGGTCTTGGACGTGCTTTATAGGCTTCAATGAGCTTCTGGATTCAATATAAAATGCTATTTTTTTACCTATAAGAGTGGACTTTCAGGTTTCTCCAGGAAACCTCCTTCAGGTAGAAATAGTCCATTCCATTTACTCACCTCAGGAAAGTTTACCTATTTGTAAAGTGCCACTATTTGTAAAGTGCCACTACTTGTAAAGTGGCAAGATGGGATGGGCCAGAGATCATGTTTTTCTATGGCAGGTTCTTTCCTCTCTAGTACAGGTAGCCTTCGGCTTATGACTGCAAACTGAGCCCAGAAGGATGCTAAACAAAAAAACTTGTTAAGTGACTTTTGCCCCATTTTACAACTTTTCTTGCCACAACCATTAAGTGAATCATTGCAACTGTTAAGTTAGTAACACAGTCTGGCTTCCCCATTGACTTTACTTGTCAGAAGGTCACAAAAGGGGATCACATGACCCCAGAACACGGCAACTATCATAAATATGCTCCAGTTGCCAACGGCCACAATTTGATCAGGTGACCCTGGGGATGCTGCGAGTGTGAAAACTGGTCATAAGTCACTTTTTGCAGTGCCATTGTAACTTTGGATGGTCACTAAATGAAGTGTTGTAAGTTAAAGGCTACCTGTAGTGCAGGGGTAGGCAACCTTGGCTCTTTTCTGAATTGTGGACTTCAACTCCCAGAATTCCTGAGCCAGCCATGCTTGCTCAGGAATTCTGGGAGTTGAAGTCCACAAGTCAGAAAAGAGCCAAGGTTGCCTACCCCTGCTGTAGTGTAAAGCAGTGTTTTCTCATTCAGAAAGGCTATTAAAATGGTATTTTAGGCAGCATTAGAGACATTGTCAAGATTCAGCAACAGGATGATGATTTTGTTATGTATCTCTGGTTTCCGTGATGCTTTATTATTTTTTTCTTGCTCGGTAGTAATTACTTTGGATTTAGTAGCGTATGTGGTGTGCATTATATATGCGTGCACTGTCTAGGTGTGAGTATTTCTCACTTTTAAAACTGCCGCAGCTGTTGCTCAGTCCTCTTCCATTATCGGCTCCTAGGTTCTATGCCCACAGTAAACTCAGTGTGCATTTTAAGCGCAGACATCATTCTACAGTAATCCATATCGACAGTGAAGATAACATGCCCTAGACTGCTTTTTATTTCATTATCAGACAGTTGATAACAAGGTCGGTGGGAAAATGAAGAATGAGAAGAAAACTAATGTCTCTCAATATGTCAAAAATTCTGGGCTGTCTACCCAAGATGATTTGAAAACCAACAGGACAGGAACTCTTTCCCTAAATGGAAATGTGAATTTTGCTAAGTATGTAGCCAACCTTAATGTCATGTTGTGGGTAGCCTTGTAAAACGAAGACAGAGTTCGTAGCAGAATAGGAAATGTGATCCCTACTGGCACCCACTATGTCTGCGGACACCACCCTTGGCATCTACCAGGCACGGCAGTGCAGAAGCCTTTGCAGAAAATAGCATGTGGCAAGGCATATGCCAGCTTTTAGCTTCACTTTATTTCTAAGAAAGCCTTACAGGCATCCTGACAAGTTAAATAGGAAGCATTTTTCTTTGTTTGGCTGCCACCTACCCGCTTATAAAAAGTCAGAAATCAGTTGGAACGGAGTTGGGAAGGTGGCAAAAATAACCAGCTAATATGTTTTTCACTAAATGAGGGTTTTCAGATTGCAGGACACATACAACGTCAGACAGCATAGCAGCCTATTTTGAGGTTTTTCAAAATTCCAAGAGCGCCAACGGTCTCAAGAAAGCAGCCTTGTCCTGGCTAATATCAACTCATGGAGGAAAACCAGTATTTGTGTCCTGGCTTGAAGTTTCAGAAAGTTAATCCCATTTCATTTCAGTAGCATTAATACCGCACTGTGTTTGCTGTCGCATAAGCAGGGATTTGCACCTTCTGGCTTGCCATCATGCTGAGAAACATCAGGCTGTATCTCTTCCTCCCTTTCAGTGGAAATGTGATAAATGGATGTTTCAGAGAAACATTTCAATAGCATGTTATTTCCATAACGAACTTTAGAACACCAAGAGGCAAACCGATCAATGACGTGGTGCTCAGCAGAAGCTGCAGCATTAAGCATACCTTTATAACTGTTTATTTGTTCTGCATTTGGTTCTATCACATCAGTATGAATGATCACTCCAGGATATTCCGACTGTAATCTTGCAAGAATCTCAAGGTCAATTTCTCCTAGGACACAAAGAAGAACAAAGACACCGGACTAATATATAGAAGTGTTTGTGGGTTTACTTGGTTCGCGTACAAATGTTAAAATAGTTTCCAAATGGCATATAGGGAATGACAAATGAAAAGCATTGCTCTATAATTATCAAGTTACATCCCATCATTATTAGGACAATTCCACTATGATGGCTGAATATTAGAACAACTATATTGGGCTAGACTAAAGATGTAGCTAGTCATTCTTTTGACAACTTGTATGAATCTGGCAAACAAAATGTGAGTAAAATAGTACTCTATCACTGGTGTTACACCAGCAAATGGAATTGGGAAACAATCTGCTTCTGATCATGATGGTGATAAAGAACCACCATGATTACTACTAATTAATAGCTCTATACTAATGAACTTGTTTAATGTACTTTAAAAACTGTCCCAAGTCTGCTGCCATCACATATGATGGCAAATGTATTTTTATTATATTTTGTGTATAAACGTATTACCTTTGTTCTACTTAAATCTCTCACCATATGCTTCATTAAGAGGAGAAAAAAGTAATCTGCTTTTTCCAAGCCAGATATAGAATTTTATTTCCCTATCTTGTCCTTGTTTACTTACCATTTTTATTCCTATGCAAATTATTTTTCATCATTTTCACTGACCATCTTCCATGTATTCTTAGCTCTATAATATCTTTTTCAAAGTGTTGGGATCAAAATTTCCTGATTCCCAATCTATGATTGTTACATCATAGATACATACAAAGGCTTTACAAAATCTATCATTTGTGTCACTTTTAGGAGATACTTCAATAAGGATCCATCGACCCATCCATCCATCTGTCCATCATCTCAACCTATGTATACGATTCTTTACAAAGAAGTAGAATGGATCTATTATACTCAGAGGCTGAAATAGGTAGACTGATAGACCTACTCATAACTGGCAGCCATTCAGTGCTACCCAATTCTAAACAGAGGCTTAAGGTCACAATGCAATAACAGTTCATTATAATAGAAAAGAAAAAGAAATAAAATGCTGATGGCACTGCATGTGATAGCATTATATTTATGTTGGATTTGGTCAAAAAGCCTCTTAAACTTACATGTAGAAGATAGAAGCAAATGCCAGATTCAATCATTATTGAACTATCTTAAGGCAGCCATTGTAACCTAGTACTCTTCAGGTGCATCATTCCTAGCCAATATGGTCAGGCTGACTGGGGATAACTGAAGCTGTTATCAGCTCATCCGAAGGTCTTATATTTTTATTGATCGACTGGATAATGTATTCATTCCCATTCACAAGAAACCAATCCATTGCCCTCGGTTATTTTTAAAGCTCCTCATCACCTCAAATTCTCTGATTTGTAATTTAATCCTCTACCTTAATTGAGTTCATTTAGTTATTTATATGCAAACAAGGGCTTTGGGGCATTTCAGAACCAGTTCCCTGGCAGCCTGAAAATCAATTGACAACTATCAGTTAAAGCTCTAGAAATTATTTAAGGACTCTGATACAATTACCTTTAAAGGGCTACCACTATGTTCACCATTAAATTACCAATTAAACCTTTCAAGGAAATAGATTGTTTAGAATAGAGTCACTATTTTACCACACGGTAAATGTCTCCTGTGATTAGAAGGGGATGGAGTTGGCCATATTAATAAGCTGTAAGAGGAACACACTTTCTTATAGATGGGAATGACACTACCTCACTGTTTATATGACCATTTAAAGTGAGACCCCCTACATCAGGGGTCTTCAAACTTGGCCTTTTTATGACTTGTGGACTTCAACTCCCAGAATTCCTCAGCCAGCGTGCCTGGCTGAGGAATTCTGGGAGTTGAAGTCCACAAGTCATAAAAGGGCCAAGTTTGAAGCCCCTGCCCTACATCCTTAGTTTTTGCTAATGTAGCATTTTGCTCTTGCAAACTTTTCCATACTGACTGTCAACACTAGTATAATGAACACTGGGAAGGACTTCTTCAGTAACAGAGTTGAAATGATTTTAAATCATTCAAATGATAAGAAATGTGTCAAAACTCTGGAGCCTATTGAACAACTAGCATCCCATGTTCTACATGCGATCCTCAATTTTGTTCTTTGCTGCCCAGACACCTTGCCACTAAAAAAATAACAAAGGACCTAGGAACTGGGCTAAATTATCATATGTAGGTCTGGTAACTCTGGTAACTTCTGCTGCATACAAGTAGCTTAACACAGACATTAATAGTTGAATGGGGATCACATAATGGAGCTCATCGGATCCTATAAAATAGCCAATTCTGGCTAGATTCTTAGTCATCTGAAATCCTATTACTTGCTTCTTATTTTCCAGCTGTCAGCTACAAGCTTACAAATAAATATCACTGTTTTCATGAGTCATGCAATCTTTCTGCTGATGGTATCCAGTGAATAACATAACAAAATTGGGGTATGGAACGGTATGGTATGGTATTTAAAGAGCCCACTTCCGTGATTATCATTGATTTAATGACTATTAGATATTAGAATTATTAGACTGATTTTAAAACTACAGGCAAATATTTGTTTCATAGCAAGGAAGGTTTGACTTTACATGGGTGATTTACTTGGGTGAAAAAGAGTGGCCTGTCTTGATCAATATGGCAGCTCTCCAGAACGGTGAGCCCCCCCCTTTGCATTATTTTGAAGAGGGGGGCTAGTGAGCAAAAGTCTTGCGGAGTCTCTGGTGCCCATTTCATTCCTTAACACACAGATGCCTCAAACACTGGGTCCTGGCTCTACCACTTTCAGAATGGGGTGCTTGATCTATTACACAAAATGTAATGTAGCTCTCTTGAGCCAAGAAAGTTTATGCATAGAATTATGGTACCCATAGAATAGCACTTAACATCCCTTCTCCATTTTGCCCTTTGTCTTTGTCTCAACCCAAAGATTTTGTCTTTTACCACAAAAACCATACCATTCCAAAAACAGAAGAAAAAAAAGTGAGGTCAATCCTTATTCACAAATAAGGATGCCAGCAGCTCATTTTACTGCTACAGCATGGACTGAGTTCTTCATCGTGAGTAAGGGAAGATGGTTTAAGGTTTAATTGCTCTTATTCATTTTTTTGGTTTTAAATGTTTCCGTAATAATTTACGACTTAAGCCATAATGACTCAATCACTTGAAAATGAAATAAAAGAAAACTAAATTCTAGAAGTAAAATAGATAGCAAATTCAAGCATCCATGAATTTCCAATAAAATGCATAATTTTGATAAAAACAAATGTAATTAAAAACAATTAAAACAAAAAAAGCCACCTAATATCAGTACTGTTCAAACCCCTGTCAGAACAAGAATGTTTACCCTGTTTGGAAAGCCTGCAAAATAGGGACTAAATGAACTTTAGGGAGTGTTTTGTTTCACAGTGCTGGGGCCACCACCAAGAAAATCTGCTTCCAAACTCTACCCCCTCCCCCTGATTTGTTTGTTTGTTTGTTTGATGGGTTGGCGACCCTAAAGATTCGCTCTTGGCGTGATAGTCCAGAATAGGAAAAGTCTAGCTGGAGGAAATGGTCCTGGAGCTGAGGCATGTAGATGAACACCAAAAGATTATTTAGAAACCTACTGGCAGACAATATCATTGGTGCTGTGTGGTAAAGTGACACATCACCTTCACTGTCTGGATTCTTGCTTTTTGTACAACTGCACTTTGCTTTCTAGACTTTATTCAAAGACAGCCTTGTATAAAGTGTGCTACACTAGTCTAAACCTGAGGTCATAAGGGCATAAGTCACTGTCATAAAGGTCAGAAAGGATTGTAACTATTGTACCAACTGAAGCTGGGCAAATGTTCCCTTACTCTGGGCCTTCACTAGTGAAATGTGAGTCCTGAAGAACCTGCAAGTCCCACAGAAGCTGGTTGGTCACCCTGAGAAACGAAATGCTAGACTAAGATGAGTTTTGGCCTTATCCAGGAGGCCTTTCCTATATGCGTAAAAAGTCATTTGTCACAAAAGAAATGAAATACAGAAGAAGAAATGGAAAAGCCTCATCCTATTCTTTTTTTCTTTTTTTTGGCTAGCCAATATCCCAGGCTTTTGCAGAATTATATTGAACAAACTCAGTGTATCTGAGAGTGTCTGATTCTATATATATATATATATATATGTTTAATTTTCATGTTATTCTCATTATCTCTTTTTTGCTCATTCATCCCCACATGGTAGAACATCATTTTGCCAGAAGGTCTATTTTAAATCATTTCTGAGCTCCTCCAAGTATAGGAAACCTAAATTGAATGTAATATAACATCCTGCATATGTAATAGCATCCATAATTCAGAATGCTAAATAACATCTTTGTATTTTGACTCACCTGAACCACCACCAACGCTTAGAACGTTGATTTCAGTTTTTCCATTACTGATGCTAGGAGGGAAGGACAAATTCATAACATCAAAGCTGTTCAAGAAGTCCAGTGACATGCATTTCTATAAAATGACCTCTAGGCATTTCCCAGTCTTTTGTTTCAGCCTCGATGTGGCTCATAAATGGCGCTCAAGATGGGGCTATGCAGATGGACTGCAGACTTGCGGTTACGAACAAGTTTAAGTGCCAGTGACTCAGGCTATCAGAAAGAGAGAAGTATGTACTGCTTACTCCTAAACTCAACTACGTAGCAGACAAGAGCACTGAGGCCTTTCAGCTCCTTTAGATGAACATGTCAACTAGCAAACAAGCATGCAAGCAAACAAACAAACAAAATGCCAATGGGATATATTGGTGAGAATTTTGAATACTGCTAGAGAGATCCATTAGTGCTGTGGGGAGAAGTTCTCCTGTTTATTTATTGTTTTTCTCATTGAGTCTGATGGAAGAGGGTTTGCTCTCTGTATTTCTTTTAAAGGAGAAGAGATTTTGGGATTCTTTTTATGGGTAAAGTATATCGTGCTGATTCAGGTGGCCAAAGGATCTGTATAACAATAATCTGATGTTCATTGTACAATGATTTCTCCAGTAATATGTAGTCTTCTTGGCTTCCTAGACTTGGATAACTTTTCAAGAGAATGAAAGGATTTGCCCCACTGGGCTTTTCAATAATTCTGCCTTAGGGAGTTCTTCTTTGGATGGGAAATTTGCAAGCATCCTCTAACCAATATTAGTGAGGAATCTAGTCAGGAATTTGGAAAAACTGTCTGGGCTCAGCAATTCTCAACCATGAAATTCCTGGATGACTTGAGCAGGTTACTCTCCCTCAGCATAATTTCTTTTTTATAAGATTAGTGTGAAGATATACTGTATTAGATATTCTATTCAGAACATTTGGAGGAAAGCAGGATATACTTGTTTGTTTGTTTGTTTGTTTGTTTGTCCCATGTTGGGGACAACAATATGACTTTTTCTAAAACATGCAAAGGAAAGAATGAGAACATTTATGGCAACACCAAACAGACTTTTGTTGAAGGTAAAGCCGATTGATTAATAGCTACAGTGTTATCAACTCCAAATAGTTATAAACTATAGAAGTTGTATATTACACGTGAATGGGTATCAGTATGTATTTAAGTTCTGTTTGCAAATATAGAAACAATAAAGTCTCTCTTTTGATGGGCAAACTCTATTTCAAAGAGAAGTCTCTGGATATAGGAATAGGAGGAGGAAGATGTATTAGGTATATTCGCCGCCTTGAGTTATGTGTAAAAATAATAAAGGCAGGATATAAGCAAATAAATTAACAAATATAAACACTAGTTTTTGTTTAAAAAAGGAAAAGAAGTGGATCGGGTGAAGTAGAATGAAAAGTGGAGTTTCACACAACTAAATACATTAAAATGCTCACTCACATTTTTTTAAATTTATTTAAAATGTTTATATAGCCACCCATCTTTCAACTAATTTTGGGCAGCTCCCAACCCAAAATTAAAAGATGTATAAAGTTCATATTTTAATATAAAACTCAGCCAATTGAAACATTAAAACCAACAAAAACCTGAAACCAGAACAATTTTACTTTGCGATTATCTAGTCTTTTCCCAATGATCCCATGTATGAAAGCATCTATCAAACATTTCTAACAACGTATCTGCCTTTTTTTTTAACCTGGATATTAACTGGGGCAGCTTCTTATCAATGAAGTCCTGCATGCACTGATGTTCGGTTGACTTCTTGAGGAAGACTTGAAAAGTTTCGACATAATGGCTGGGATTCGAGAACAAACTCCTCATGGTCATGGTAACCGGCAACCTGCTTAAAGATATAGGTCAAAGAACAGAAAGTAGAATTATTTTGGAAAGGCAGGAGACAAGGAAGAATGATGGGAAAAGTAAGAACAGTGTCATTCTTGCCCCACCTTGGAGAGGGTGGCAAGGTTGCAAGTAAGGAAAACTTTTGCTGAAACAGCATATTGTCATTTTTATCAGACTTTGCCACAAGACCTTGACCGCCTGCAGCACAGAGTGCCCAGCTAGGCTCTGTTGTAAACAGAGGCAAACTCTGAGTGATGATAAGGAATTTCTACCTAGAAATATTTTGGATGCATCTCTAAGGTGATATTGTGGGACTTTCCTATGTCCTGGTTTTTGGACTAGCTAGAATTCTGTTTTATCCTGGCAATCCCTTGAGAGTTAAAAAAAACACCACATATAGTTCAGCTTAGGGGAGGAAAGTTCAATTTAATACCATGTCATCTTCAAACATTTTTTAGAGGGGAAAAACTCCATTAAAGAGTTTTAACAGAGCCTGAGGCCCTGTTCTGAAATGATTGTTGTCCATCCTATCAGAATATTATATTGGGAACTACTGGACAGCAGTGGTGTCAAATTCAAATAGAAACAGGGACCGCTAAACCCTGCATAACGATCCTGTATGTTGTATTTTGACTTAGAAAACTACCCAGGTGTATTTGTTTATATATTCCAGTTTGGAATAATGATTCAGGTGCTGGCTGAGAAACAGAAAACAGTGAGTTCTAGACCTCTTTCAAGGGTTAAATGAAACGAAAGCCAGCTGGCTGATCTTGAATCAGTCCCTCTCTCTCAGCCCAGCCTACCCCGCAGAATTGTTGTGAGGAGAATAGGAGGAATATTAGATATGTTGGCTGCCTTGAGTTATATATCTAAGAAAAGACAGGAGAAATATATCATCATCATCTATTGTTATATTAATACATCAAAACAACAATCGGATAGGCTAGATCAGGGGTAGGCAACCTTGGCTCTTTTATGACTTGTGGACTTCAGCTCCCAGAATTTCTGAGCCAGCCATGCTGAGGGGAAAGGGAGAGATTTCCAAGCTGAGCCATGCTGGCTCAGGAATTCTGGGAGTTGAGGTCCACGAGTCATAAAAGAGCCAAGGTTGCCTACCCTGGGCTAGATATAACCAATACATTAAATACATTAAAAAATCATTATTACATTTATTATTACAAATTAACTATATTTATATATGTTAAATGCACTTGAATTTTTACCGTATGTATGCATCTATGTGTGTTTACATATTCACACACACAGTTCGCACTCTGAGCTTCTTCCCAGCCGACCATTAAATTATTGTGCCGACTTCCCCTTTTTCTTCCTAGCCCTGCTTGTCACCGCCCAAAAACGTCCCTTCTGATTTCTGATATCCCATGTATAGAAAGAAAAAATGTTTTAGGTGGCTTTCCCCAAACCAAGGTAAAATGTCTGGGCTGCGAAACAAGAATATTAAAAAGAAAAGAAAAGAAAGAAAAGCATTATAGTCAATCCTCAACTTACAACCCTTCTTAACCCAACTTTTTTTTAAAGTTATGATGCCACTGAACAAATGATGACTGGTCCTCTCACTTATGACCGTCATAGTGTCAGCCTTTGTGATCTTCCCAGCCGATTTTGACAAGCAAGTCATTGGGGAAGCTGGAAGGGAAAGGCGCAAATCCCAGTCATGTGATGTCTCACTTCATCAATGGTAATTTGATTAACAACTGCAGCCAAAGAGTTTGTGAAATCGAGTGTGATCACATGTTGCCTCACGCAACAAACGCAATGCTTAACGATGAATTCTCTGGTTCCTATTGCAGTTGTAAGTCAAGGACTACTTGTATACAAAAATCATTTGAATCACCCCCTCTCTTTCATTTGTCCCCCACTTTTTTTTATTGTATTCTGCACTTATTTAAACTTTAATTATGAATAATTACAAAAACTTTGCAACTCTATAAAGTTAGTAATGATCCTAGACCTTGAGCAGACTGAAACTCCACAGGTATCAATTCAACTTTTTTGGGGAGGGAAGAAAGAAAGAAATTCAACCTCTCTTGGAGGGAGAATATACAAGCTTTTTTTTTTTTTTTTTTTTTAAAGAAAGGCGAGGAATTCATTCCACCTGTTTTGGAGAGAGGTATTCCTTCAGGCACTGGAAACACTGTAGACCGGAGCAGGTCACCTAACCGTGCAGGGCTGCCTGCCTGCCAGTCATCTGGGACAAAAGTACAGAGAGGTCACAATTAGTGTGAGTTTGAGTAATGCAACGTCCAATTTAGTGTGAACTGCTTCTTTCCAATTATCCATGACCTCCTTTGCCTGCTTGGATATCTCATATCTCATTAGCCCTATCCTTTCTGCTGCAATTTAGCTTAGGAAGCAAGTTTATGCAGGACATTTCCTGAGTCACAAGCCTGGAGTTTGGGTGATTGGTCATTATATTTATTCTTATTGAGCTTCAAAATGTAATATTATTGCTATTTTGTTGTATTTTTATTTTATTTTCCTAAATATCACCCAGTTGCATTTTAATCTGATCTGGGCCACACCTGGGAGTGTTGTGGGTTACATGTTTGACACTTCTGCTGTACAATGCTTCAATAAAGGTATCTGGAACACTGGAGTGGGTGCCATCAATATATTGGTGACACCTAGCTCTACTTTATCCTTCTTTAACTCTAAGCAAGCAGTCATTATTCATCATTCACTAAGCTTGATGATAGGCTACAAAAAAATCAAATGGAGATCCAATAGGAAACCAGGGCTGAATGAGATTACTTTTTCATAGCTTGGGAAGGCCCCTCAATCCTCACCTCTTATTGGATTCCTAGAATCCAGAGGGCCACAATAGCAAAGAATCCATTTCCACCCACTGGGCCAACAATTTATGGGCTGATAGTTACCTGTTCTTCAAACTTCAGCAGGGAGTAGAATCTAGCGGATTTTGAAAAAGGTAAGCAGGGCTGGACCTGATATAGGAAACCAATTTCATAGTTAATAGTAGGGAGCTTGGTTTAAGGGAACCTTTTAAGTCACTCTTATTATATCATGAATGGCTGCTACAATGTGCTTTCTGTGGAGCTACTCTTTAAAGTATCTAAGAGCCAGGTTGGTGTAGTGGTTCAGTTGCTGGCCTAGAAAACAGGAGACTTGGAATTCTAGTTCTGTTTTAGAAAGCCAGCTGAGTGACGTTGGGCCACCCATTCACTCTCTCAGCTCAACTCACTTCACAGGCTTGTTGTGAGGGAAAAAAAGAGAAAGATGAAGAAGTATTATGTATGTTTGCTCCTTGAGTTACTTATAAAGTAATAAAGGCAGTATAAAATTATTAAATAACTCTGAAAGCTTCATTCTGAAATTCCTTAGTTACCCCCAAAACACACACACACACACACACACACACACACACACAAATACCCATATGCTTTTTTAATCCAATACATTCTTTGATACACACTCTTGGCCATCCTTCTACTTAGATCTCAATCTGTTAAGAATATTGTTTCCCTTCTCTGCTTTGCTGATAAAATATATCTATTCATCCCGTATTTCTTGAGATCTTGAGTGAGATTATCCCTCATCTTCCCTTGGGCCTTCTCCTACCAACTTTTTCAGTCAGCAGGTTCTTTGCTCATCTAAGGTTTCTGAGACCCCATGTCAGCATTTTCCTCTGAACCTTCAACTTAATAATTGCCTTGCCAGCAGATTCTGTCTGAGAAGTCACAAATACTGAACTCAATATTCACAATAGCTTGAACAGCGGTTAAGACAGGTTCAAAGCAGAAGTGGCAAGAGTAATTACATTTCCATTTGCATGCCCGGAATCCCTCATACAGTTTAAACAATACATAGACCAAATGCGAGGGATGAATTCAATATTATTATCTGCCTCAGTCTTCTCTGACTAAATGTCCATCATCTGTGTGGGTACTACAGTACAATCTCCTGGATTCCTAGTCACTGTGGCAATGGCATGACACGCTGGGAATTTGGAAATCTACACCGTTAGTACATCTGAAGGTAGGGTTGCCAGATATCTGAACAGACAAATGAGGACATGGACAATTGCAAAAGAGGACAAAAGGTATGTGGGGGGGGGGAAGGACACATTAACTATATAATAATAATAATAATAATAATAATAATAATAATAATAATAATAATAATAATAATAATAATAATAATAATAATAATAATAATAATAATAATAATAATAATAATAATAGTAAAGTTGGAAGGGACCTTGGAGGTCATCTAGTCCAATCCCCTGCTCAGGCAGGAAACCCTATACCATTTCGGACAAATGGCTGTCCAGTCTCTTCTTAAAAACTTCCAGTGTTGGCGCATTCACCACTTCTGGGGGCAGGTTGTTCTATTGGTTAGTTGTTCTAACTGTCAGGAAGTTTCTCCTTAGTTCTAGGTTGCTTCTCTCTTTGGTTAGTTTCCATCCGTTGCTTCTTGTCCTGCCTTCGGGCACCTTGGAAAATAGCTTGACTCCCTCTTCTTTGTGGCAGCCCCTGAGATATTGGAACACTGCTATCATGTTCCCCCCTCGTCCTTCTCTTCGTTAAACTAGACATACCCAATTCTAGCAGCCTTTCCTTATATGCTTATTTATTTATTTATTTATTTATTGAAACGACTCTTAATTTTTAATTAAAGTCACAGAGCTGAGCTTGTCCTTAGGGAAGTGTTGTGCCATAGAAAAAAGCTGCTTAGAAAGAGACAATTTGTAGAAACTCAAAAAGGAGAACAATATTTAATTTTAAGGCTATGCCTGCCAGACATGAAGACAAAAAAGGAAGTCTTGCTATGCCTATCTGAAAGGCACAGGTTGTACCCCAATATGAAGCCACCTTGACAGTCAAAATTCCTGCAAATTGATTAAAGAATTATTGGTTAGTTAATGCAGGAAAGAAGTGACTAGGATTGTCTAATTGAAGTCAGTTTAGAATTCATAGTGTGAATTTGTAGAGAGCTGCCCTTGTAACCAAGGTTAGTCCTTCCTTAAATATCCCTAATTCATAATGATGCAATTAAGTATTTTTTAAAAAAATACTTAAATGTAAAATTGGAAAATTAATAAAATAATATTAAAAAACATAATGATGCAATCACCAACATGAAGAAGTTAAGAGTTCTTGACTTACAACGTCAATTGAGCCCAACATTTCTGTTGCCAAGTGAGACCTTTTGTTAGGTGAGCTTTGGCCCATTGTGTGAACTTTCTTGCCACATTTGTTAATCATTGCAGCTATTAAGTTAATAACATGATTGTTAGGTGAATCTGGCTTCCCCATTGACTTTGCTTGTCAGAAGTTCGCAAAAGGGGAGCATGTGACCTTGCAACCATCATAAATATGAGTCAGTTGCCAAGTATCTGAATTTTGATCACATGACCACAGGGAATCTGCAGTGGTCAAGGGTAAAAAAATGCTCCTAAGTCACTTTTTTCAAGGCCCTTGTAATATTGAACAGTCACTAAATGAACTGTTGTAAGTTGAGGAGTACCTGTACCTCAATTTTCCAGCTTAGTGGAAATAATAACAAAATAACAGAGTTGGACGAGACCTTGGAGGTCATCTAGTCAACATCCTGCTCAGGCAGGAGACTCTATACCATTTCAGACAAATGGCGGTCCAATCTCTTCTTAAAAACTTCCAGTGTTGAAGCATTCACTGCTTCGGGAGGCAGGTTGTTCCACTGGTTAATTGTTCTCTCTGTCAGGAAGTTTCTCCTTACTTCTAGGTTGCTTCTCTCCTGGATTAGTTTCCATCCATTGCTTCTTGTCGTGCCTTCAGGTGCTTTGGAGAATAGCTTGACTCCCTCTTCTTTGTGGCAACCCCTGAGATATTGGAACACTGCTATCATGTCCCCGCTCGTCTTTCTCTTCATTAAACTAGACATACCTAACTCCAGCAACCATTCTTTATATGTTTTAACCTCCAGTCCCCTGATCATCTTTGTTGCTCTTCTCTGTACTCTTTCTAAAGCAAGGGTTCCCAACCAGGGGTGTTTGCACCCCTTGGGGGTGCAAGGCAATATTCCAGAGTGTGCGACAACTTGGGTTTTTAAAATTATAGTGTATATGCATAATTTGTTGCCATTATTTTGAACTTTTGTAAGGGGTGCGAGAATATATCAGATGCGTTCTATGGGTGCGGGGTATAGAAAAGGTTGGGAGGCACTGTTCTAGAGTCTCAACATCTTTTTTACATCATGGCAACCAAAACTGGATGCAGTATTCCAAGTGTGGTCTTACTAAGGCATTATAAAGTGGTACTAACACTTCATGTGAACTTAATTCTAATGCAGCCTACAACTGTGTTGGCTTTTTTTGGCAGCTGCAGCACAGTGCTGACTCAATTCTCTAGCTATTGGGAGTTCATGAGAATTGCTCTTTGTTAAAAGCCAACTCAGTGCTGGGCTGCATTAACAGAGGGATAGAATCAAGATCACGTGAAGTATTAGTACCACTTTACAATGCCTTGGTAAGGCCACACTTGGAATACTGCATCCAGTTTTGGTCACCATGATGTAAAAAAGATGCTGAGACTCTAGAAAGAGTACAGAGAAGAGCAACAAAGATGATTAGGGGACTGGAGGCTAAAATATATGAGGAACGGTTGCTGGAATTGGGTTTGTCTAGTTTAATGAAAAGAAGGACGAGGGGGGACATGATAGCAGTGTTCCAATATCTCAGGGGCTGCCATAAAGAAGAGGGAGTCAAGCTATTCTCCAAAGCGCCTGAGGGCAGGACAAGAAGCAATGGATGGAAACTAATCAAGGAGAGAAGCAACCTAGAACTAAGGAGAAACTTCCTGACAGTTAGAACAATTAACCAATGGAACAACCTGCCTCCAGAAGTGGTGAATGCTCCAACACTGGAAGTTTTTAAGAAAAGACTGGACAGCCATTTGTCCGAAATGGTGTAGGGTTTCCTACCTGAGCAGGGGGTTGGACTTGATGACTTCCAAGGTCCCTTCCAACTTTATTATTATTATTATTATTATTATTATTATTATTATTATTATTATTATTATTATTATTATTATTATTATTATTATTATTATTATTATTATTATATTAGCTTGCCAAATGAAATGGGTGAAATGGCATGTGAGAACATTTGCATATGCACACAAAAGCACACACAGAAACAAAGAGTAGTCACATTTACACCATACCATAAGGCAGTGTTTCTCAACCTTGGCAACTTTAAGATATATAGTCTTCAATTTCCAAAATTGGAAGTTGGGAGTTGAAGTCTTCATATCTTCAAGTTGTCAAGGTTCAGAAATACTGTCCTAAGGATTCCAACTGCATGAGAAGCAAACTTCATAGCTTACAATAATGGCAACTATAAATGATGCATAAATAGCCCTTCTAAACAATGATACTGCCCATGTTACACATTCTTTTGCTAAGTAGTTCCTGGGAAGAGTCAAGTGAATGACATTTGAAATGGTTTTGATTATTTAAACATATGATTCAGAGCTTGAATATTTCTTGATTTCAAGCAAAAAAAATGAACAAGGTGGGTTTTTTTGTATATTGTCAGGTTGCACATCTTTGCACATTTAATCTAGAGAAGTCTGCTGCAACTTACATTTAAAAATTAGGCTGTATGTATTAGTAGCAGCAACAATAATTTTATTTGCAGACTTCTTGTCCTTGCTTCCTAACTTTAGCCATATGGAGCACATGTCTGATGTGCTATGTAAATGCAAGGCAATATAGCAATAACACTAGCAATAGCATTTAGACTTATATACCACTTCATAGTGCTTTAGAGCCCCCTCTTAATGGTTTACAAATGTCAGCATATTGCCCCTAACAATCTGAGTCCTCATTTTACCAACCTTGGAAGGCTGGAAGGCTGAACCAACCTTGAGCCGGTGAGAATCAAACTGCTGGCAGTCGGCAGAATTAGCCTGCAATACTGCATTCTAACCACTGCATCACCATGCCTCTTATGTGCCATCAGAGCTCTTATAAATATAAATGTAAACATGCAGAGCAATCTTTAGCAATGATCCCTAATGGCAAGGATGGTGATGCATATTTTATTTTGTTAATCCAAATGTATATAAAATATTTTACAGCCTGATCATACTGATAACTAAG